GAAAAAAACCAAAAAATAAATAAATAAATAAATAAATAAATAAATAAATAAATTTTTTTGTGTGTGAATGTATGAAATTCTCAAAGAATTATTAATAAAAATACTTTTTTGTTAAAAAGGCAAAAGTAGGCTCTGATAGGAAATAATGACCAAGGCTACTTATAGAAGAGTTTAATGAGATCCCAGTCCCAGAGGGTTCGAGTCCATGACCATCATGGTGGGGAGCATGGCAGCGTGCAGGCAGACATGGCATCAGAACAGTGGCTGAGAGCTGATATCCTTATCCTCAAGGAGGACACAGAGAGAGCTAACTGGAAATGGCCTGGGCTCAGAGCCCCCCCCCCCAGTGACACACCTCCTCCAACAAGGCCACACCTCCTAATCCTTTCCACACAGTTCCACCAACTGGGGGCCAAGCATTAGAACACATGAGCCTCTGGGGGTCCTTCTCATTTAAACCACCACCTAAACTGAGTCCAAACATTCATTGGCTTCTGCTTCTTGACTACAATGCAATCAACTGCTTCAGATTCTTGCTGCCCTGACTTACAGGTCATGATGGCTAAACCTCAAACCATGAGCTAAAAATCAATATCAGAGGGGCCTGGGGGTGTAGGCCTGTCATCCCAGGCTGAGGCAGAAGGATCACGAAAGCAAGGCTGCCTGGATTAGTGAGTGAGTTCAAGGCCAATCTGGCCAATTTAGGGAGACTCTGTTTCAAAAGGAAAAGTAAAAAGCTTAGTGGTCGGGCACTTGCTTATCAAGCAGGAACTCCAAGATTCAGTCTCCAGAGCTACAAAAATAAAAATAAAATCCCACACGTGAGAAAATACTCACCAGACAAGAAAGCTGAATCACCCACACACTCTCGAGAGGTGAGGCTCCTTAAGCCCCATGCAGAGTCCAGCTTGTCACCTCTCCAAGGCATTGAAGATATGCCAGTGGATTCAGTTGCTTCGATCTTCATTCTTCTACACCAGTTCCCCATCCATCCATCTTGAATATTGCTTTCTGTTAGTCTGATGGGATAGCCTCAGAAACGCTTAACTCCTGAAGCAAGGCAAGATTTCTCTCAGACTCTGGGTCATTGTGCTGAGTTTTCACTGTCCAGGGCTGCCCATCCAAGGCCTTGAAGTGATCGCGTGCCTCAAAGGGTGGCTTAGGACTGGGCAGGGTATGGTCAACCACCGTGGGCCACTGTGGGTCAGGCTATGTTAAGACACTTGGTGTGGGGGGTTGGGAGGGGGGAATCAGGACCATGTGGCCTTTAGGTCTTCTAGTCCCATGTAGGTGCTTAGTGGGACAAGTGGGTCATATTCATCCCTCTGTGGGAGCCAGATATCTTCCCTCCGCATTCTTCCTACAGGGCAGCTATTCTTACCTCACTAACTGGCTAGGGCCAGCATCCCACCCTGTGGTCACATTGGCCACAAAACTCTCTCAGTGGAGAGTATGCCTTTATTCTCAAGTTCAAGTGTAGGAGGCCCATGGGTGTTTCCTAGTCTGCATCAGGGCCACAGGAAGGACCGGGGTCGGATTCCCAAGCTCCATCAATAGAAGGACAGGAGTTGCCAAGAGAGGGGTATTGAAGATGCTAAGGGAGGGGTCGGAGCAGGACATAGAAAAGGGACAAGGGGGTGGGCTTTCAGAATTGAGTTTTGTCTCTTTCATTTGTTTTGACTGCGACAGACCATCTCAGGGAGGAAACCAAAATAGGCTTAGGAGGCAGAGGCAGGAGGATCTCTGTGTGTTCAAGGTCTACTTACATAGTAAGCTCCAGGACACAGGACTACATAGAGAGACCCTGTCTCAAAAAACAAAAGACCCAAATAGATAAATAAATGGCTGAGGAGGAGGAGGTAGAGGACGAGCAAAGATGGAGGTGGTCTCCTGGTGGACAGCACTCCAGCCCTGTGTGGTCAGGCTAAGAGGAAAGTCAGGAATGGGAAAGAATGAAGTCCTGTCATGTTTCTGAGTTCCCGAGAGGGAAAGGCCAAGGCCAGAGCATGGGTAGGGCTGCCAGTTCTGGGAGAATGGACGCTTGGTGTTAAAAAGCCATTCACTACTAGGCTGACCTGATCTCTGCAAGTTTTCCCTGGGAGCAGCAAGCAAACTGGGCATCAGTGGGAGCTGGAATCTGAGGTTCTGTTCATGCCAGCGCTAAATTCCATTGGCTGTGGCTCTAACTGGATTCCCAGCTTCATTTCTTGCTGTATTCTAAAAGAAAAATGGAGCCAGATATTGAGGCTCATGCCTTTAATCTTAGCACCCAGGGGTGGGGCACAAGCTGGCAGATCTCTCTGAGTTCTCTATCAGCCTGGTCTACATAGTGAGATGTAGACCAACCAGAGCCACACAGTGAGACCCTGCCTCTAAAATAAATAAATAAAAAAAAAATAATTAAAAGATAAAAGGTTTAAGGAAATAAAAGAAAGATGGGGACACCAAAACTTAGTATAGAAAACTTCGTTTACTACGGTTTGGTCAAAACAAGGAGAGGGTTAAAAAAAATAAAAACAAACCCATGTTCTCTCCATCTGTCTTCCTGTGGTCTCACGACCAATAGAAAATGAAGCAAAGGCCTAGAGATACCTATGTAGCTGGGAGACAGGGTCCCACTGGGGTGCTGTCTCTATCTTAGCATTGAAGTCAGGTTCATTTACACTGGGGGTGTATGGAGAATAGTGCTGAGCACCAGCACCAGTGTCTCCAGTGGACCAGCCAAAATTCTATTAATCCCCACCCCCACACTCCCCGCGGGCTCCCTGTTAGGTACTTCTTTGAGGTGTCTAACTAGCCCAGGTTAGTTCCCTACCACAGCCAGCAAAGTTCACGGATTTTTTCAGAAGGAACTTCTAGCGGGCAGCTGTAAGGGGCTCAGGACAGAACACCACACACACACAAAGTGCTTCTGAGATGTCCGGTCAGCGCCACCGCTGACGCCAGGGTGCTTTACCTTAGCACGTAGATAATCACGACTCAGAAATGTCTCCTCAGGTTTCACCTCACTAAGAAAAGCGGTCCGCTGGTTTCCGTGCCCAGAGTCTGAAATCTCAAGAACCTGACGGCGGGCGATGGGGACCGTGGCAAAAGGAGGCTAGGACCATGGCAATATGCCCCTGCGGTAGCGAGAAGAGGCAGGGAGGTGGCAGCGACTTGTTCCAAGGCTAGAGTCAGGTTCTGAGGTTTGGAGAAGAGTATCCGTAGGTGGTGGCCTTCAAAGTCGCTTGTTCTCAGCCTTGAAATGGAAGAGAGAAAAGTAATAATTAAAAAAAAGACTTTCTTTTTCTGCATAGGAGCTTCAATTCCAAAGTCCAGCCAGCCAGGCACTGAGGCTTGAAGGGGTCTTAGACGACTGCAAAGTGGATCCCGGTCTTCCAAGCTCGGCGAAGGTTTCCATCTCGATCACTTTTTGGGATTCCTAGAGCTCGGCTGCAGCAGGTGCACCCGGTCTGTGCGCCCGGAGTCCCTAGGCCCTCCCCTGCCCACAGGGCCCCCATCCCAGCCCCGCCCAGTCCACCCACCGCCCCGCCCCCATACTGGCTCCGCCCCTAGTCCCCGTCCCGCCCCCCCATCTCAGCCACGCCCCCGCCGGAAGCACTCGCGCGCCCCGGGGCCGGCGGCGCACCGGGGTCCAGCGCTCTGTGCTGCGCTGCTTCTGAGTCCCGCGATCGGCCGCCCTTCTCCGCATGGATCCCGCGGAGCGCGCGCAGGCGGCGCGGGCTCGGGTGCCCAGGTAGGTGCGGAGGCCGCGCGCGGGGTGCCGGGCGCCCGCCCTGGACTGGATCTGAGCCGATCGCTGCTGTGCGGGGGACGCGCTCTGGTCCTAGGAGAGGAGAGAGGGGAATGAGGGGCAGAGGAGTGGAAGGGATGGAGGAGGGGAGGAAGAGAGGGAGGGACGGCGGGCCGAGGATGGACTGAGGAGAGAACCGAGGGGTGTCGGGTGGCAGAGATCCTGGACCCCAGCCGCATCCTTGCGGGCGCGGAAACTTGGTTCGGGAAACAGGTTCTTTTTGTGGTTTGTAGGATCGATCCGTATGGATTTGAAAGGCCCGAAGACTTTGATTATGTGGCTTATGAAGAATTTTTTTCCACGTACCTGGTGATACTCACCAAGAGGGCGATCAAATGGTCCAAACTTCTAAAGGGAAGCGGCGGGGTCCGAAAAAGCCTGACAGGTGAGAGGCCTGATGCTGGCTGGCACGGCAGCCATTCGACCAAACGTGACCTCCCCCAGCAGCCAGACCCTCTGTGGCGCGATCCCGAGCGCGACCTCTGGACTGCGGGACCTCCTGTAGAGCGACTTTGCAGCAATTAGAGCCTCCCCAGCAGTAGAACCCAGTACAGGGCAACCAGCTAGTGTGCCCCCCCATCCCGCCCCCAACCCCCAGCAGCAGGACCTCACTATAATGGGTCTCCCAGCAGCAGGGTCCCTACCAGCTGGAACTCCTAAAACAAACCTACCGCTACCCTGGCGCTCACACACAAGCAACTTCCTAGGAGCTGGATCCCTCAGTAGCTGATCCCCCACCACCCACAAGCGCCACTCCTGGGACACCACGAGATCCTTGCCCAAGCATTGACTGAGGGGTGTGTGTGTGTGTGTGTGTGTGTGTGTGTGTGTGTGTGTGTGTGTGTGTGCGCGCGCCACAACAGGCAGGCTGGGGAGTTCCACACTTCACTGCCCTTCCACCATGGTCACCACGCCCTCTTAACTGAAGATGGGCAAAGTCCATACTTACTTGGAAGCTTCCAGGAAGCCTCGTGTTCTGAGAGGGTTTAGAACAGCGCCTACTCCCCAGAGACTGGGTAAGAGTGGGGCACTCAGGGTGAGTCTCTGGGTATGTCCTTCCCTAACAGGAGCAGCATTGGGGGACTGAGCACCAGATAGACCTCATGCTTCAACATCAGACAGGCTGGGCTCCTGGTTAGTCCAGTTCTAAGACAAACCTTCTTGGTCTCAATAGCAACCAGTAGGCTTTTCCAATCAGCTTTTTTCCCCTTCCCCTATCATATTTGACTGCCGTTTGTTTCCTTGCTAGAATCAGGTTCCTCCCTGCTTGAAGGGAACTCTGTTTATTTCACTGCGGAATCCTGGGTACAGGGAGCATTGCTTTGTTAAAGTAATAGGGACTTCATATTTGTTAAAGGTGGAGAATGCCTGGTAGCCAGATAGATGACAGACCTGCAGTGTAAGTCTGAGGACATTAATGATGGTGCTAGAGCTGGCTGGCCCAATCAGAGGGCAGAGGACACTCCTTGTCCCATCCTGTCTCTGTGTGCCAGCATGTTTCCGGCATGTTTCGGCTAGCACCTACTTCTTTGGTCTTCTCAGGCTTGGCAGTTTTATTTATACTTAATACATAATCCATGCACATGGTAAAGGTTTTCGTTATAAGGAAAGATAGAACATGAAGTTGCTTCTCTCCCAGCCCAGACTCTAGTCTACCACAGAAGTAACCGCTGGGTAGCCCGGTTATGGTGGTGCACACCTTTAATCCCAGGACTCAGGAAGTAGAAGGGGGGGGGGCTCTTTATGAGTTCGAGGCCAGCTTGGTCTACGGAGTTCCAGGACAGCCAGGGCTGTTACACAGAAAAACCCTGTCTTGAAAAACCAAAAAAAAAAAAAAAAAAAAAAAAAGCCACTGGGGACTTCTTCCACGTGAATGCGTCCTTCCGAGGGCCAGGCAGGCTGCGAACTGTGACCCTTTACAGGCCTCAGACACTGGTCCTGGTTAGCAGTTGTCTGGTACTGACTTCAGCAGGTCTGGTTTGCTTTGGAACACTTGTCTCAATGCTCTGGACGTTTAACTTGCTGGGCTGGGAAGAAGGCAGAATGTTCCCGGCTCTCCCAGAGGACCCAAGTTCAATCTCCAGCACCCAGATGGGGTGGGTCACAACCTCCTGTAACTCCAACTTTCTGGGAATCAAATGCCTCTGGCCTCCATGGGTACACAAGCTCTTGTGTAAACACCCACATGCAGACACACCCATGTGCAGACACACCCATGTGCAGACACACAAACACACACGATAAAAAGTAAAAATAGCTGGCTTTATAGCAAATGCTTTTAATCCTAGCACTTGAGTGGATGTCCGTAAATTCAGGGCCAGCCTGGATTACAGCCAGGACCACACGGAGACACCCCCCCCCACCCCCGCCCTGTTTTGTGAGACAGTGTATCACTGTGAAGCCAGAGCTGGAACAGAATAGAACCTCTGTGTAGACCAGATTGGTTTTGAACTCACAGAGGTCCCCCTGCCTCCATCTTCTGACTGCCGACTGAGATTGAGTGTGCATGATACCACACCAGGCCTGGCTAAAAATAAGTGTCTCCCCCCCCCCCCCCAAAAGTTTCCCTTGCTTTAACCATCGTTTCGCTTTACCATCATTTCAGTTATGTAACATTCATTCGGCTGTCATTATGGTAACAGGTAGCGATGGTGCAAGCAGATGTGTCTGGCTCCTGGCAGACCCTGAGCCTGAGGAAGGGTGAGAGCTGCCCTGATGTTCTGGCAGGAAACAAGCCTAATTAGTTGGGGGGGGGGGGTCCCTGGGAGTCTGCCAGGTGCCCCTGTTTCTAGGTTTATAGGCAGGGAAGCTGTAGAGCTGAGGAAGTTCAATCAAGCGTTAAACAGGAGTAGGCAAGTCATTTCAGAAATGGGAAATTCCTGCCAGGTATTCTAGGCTGACCGAAGTGTAATCAGCAGGGCAAATATCCCCAGGAGAGAGATCACATGACCAAGGAAGCTGTGTTCACGTACGGGGGTAGGAGCCAGGGACTCAATGTTATATCCACTCTTGAGTTTCAGTAAGCATCCTTTGGTATCTGCTGACTTCCGTCCCTCTGTCCGTTCATCCCCCCCCCCCCCCGCCCCCCTCATCTGTCTCACTTGTTTCCTTTTTTTGAGTCTTGGCTGGTCTTAAACTTGAGATCCCTGTATTATCTCAGCCTCCCAAGCGCAGGCATTATGCCTGTTTACCACCATACATAGTTTTCTGTTTTTGGAGGTGTTCTCTCTGAGTCAGTAGTGCCTTCAGGGCCCTTTTTGAAGTTCTTGATCTCATTGGTAAATTTTTTTTAATTTTTTTTTTTTTTTTGGTTTTTTCAAGACAGGGTTTCTCTGTGGCTTTGGAGCCTGTCCTGGAACTAGCTCTTGTAGACCAGGCTGCCTGCCTCTGCCTCCCGAGTGCTGGGATTAAAGGCGTGCGCCACCATTGCCCGGCTCATTGGTAAATTTTTATTTACCAGTTATGGTCTTTTCAAGCCCTGGCTGATATAGAACTTCTGCCTCCCGAGTGCTGGGATTAAAGGCGTGCGCCACCATTGCCCGGCTCATTGGTAAATTTTTATTTACCAGTTATGGTCTTTTCAAGCCCTGGCTGATATAGAACTTGCTCTATAGACTGGGCTGGTCTCGAACTCACAGACGTCCATCTGTTCTGCCTCCCAAGTGCTGGCCTTAGAGGCGGCATGCATTGCCATGCCTTGGAGTTGGTGATAGGATTTAAACAGGTTTGGAAGGGAACTCAAAGACATCTTACTGGCACTGAACAGAGGAAACTGTAGGACAGGCAAGCTATAGATCTCAGCAGCTGCCAGGAGATTGATTTGGGGAAGAGTTACCATTTTGGGGTTAGAAGAGGAAAAGCTGGGAGTATGAAAGCAGCTGGATCCAGGGAGAGATTTGGGACCTGTCAGGGGCCATCACGCCTCCTGTTCTCTTTACCGTGTATTCAGGTGCCCCATGCTTCTTTTCATCTGACTTTAGGCGGGTCTTCTTGGCCTTGTTTGTGTAAGGCGAGCACCTTCCCTTTCAAAATGGTGTCAAACAATGGCTTCATCTATACAGAGGTCACTGACCACCGGTTGTGCCAAAGGATGTCACCATGTTGGTATTCTGTGTGTCCCCAAGAGGTTTCTGATTCAGGATGACCCCTCTGCCTGTATGCGAAAAGATATTTGGGGTCATAGTTTGTTTCAATGGTATCAGAGGAGATTGACAGGGTGTCTCAAATGGTCACCTGGGCCCTTTTGTTTCGTGTTCTCCCTGCCCAGTATCCCCTATCATATGAACGTGTCCAGTTACCTGCAGATCTTGTTATCTGAGAAATCTCCTACGACAGTTTTAAGTCACTCTGCTGATCAAGAGCAGGCACAGTGAATGCTGTTTTCCTGCCTATGTGAGGATCCACCAGGAGCCCCCAGAAATAGAGCATGCTGTTCCTGTCCTGCCGTTCTCTGGTTAGCATCCCTACTTGGTGCAGAGGGAAAGCCATTTGCTCCTTGGTGGCTTTAGTGTCACACACCTGAATTCCCGGTGAATTATGGGAGCACATTCAAGGCCACATGCCCCAAACCTGGCTTTTGCTTGACTTGGTTGGGGCAGAGAGGTGGAGGTGGAAGCTAGCTCTAGGGGGTTCTCTGCAGGGTTTAGTGGCCACCTGTTGGAGAACCCTGCCCTCAGAAGGAGCTCAGTCTGTGAGTGCAAGAAAGCTAAATTCATCCTTTTGAAGAAAGAAAGTTTACATGAGGTAAAAGCGCATGTGTGTGTGGGGAACCAAACCAACTAACAAACAAACAAATGGGGGGTGGTGGTGCACGCCTTTAACCCCAGGGGAAGCAGAGGCAGCCCGATCTCTGAGAGTTCCAGGCCAACCTGGTCTACAGAGTGAGTTACAGGACAATTAGTGCTGTTACACAGAGAAACCCTGTTGAAACCTACCCCCCCTCCAAAAAAAAAAAAAAAAGAGTGCGTAGAGACTTGGCCTCTGGGCCAGCAGGGCATCCCAGCTCTACGACTGCAGCAGGCGGGCTCCGTGCTGTTTCTACACTATATAGATAAGGAAACTGAGGCATGGAGCTAGGAAGCCAGAGTGGAGCAGGTGTCCAGATGCCAGAGTTGATGTGTGGGACTATTTTGTCTTTTGTTTAAAATCAAACAAACAACACAAAACTTACATTACTAAATTCAAACCAGAGCCAGAGTGACATTAATCTTAGTTCTTGGAGGCAGAGGCAGGAGCATTGCCATAAGGTTGAGGCCAACCTGGTCTACATAGCGTTCTACACAGAGTTCTAGGCTAGCCAGAGCTACATAGTGAGGTCTATCTCCAAAAATGGAGATGAGTTGCCAAGGTGGGGGTTGGCTGGAGAGACAGCTCAGCGGTTGAGAGTGCGTCTTGCTCTCAAAGAGAACCTGAGTTTGGTTTCCAGCATCCATGTCAAGCTCTTCAAACTGTAGAACTTCAGCTCCCGGGGATCCGGTACCCTTGTGCATACCTGCACTCAGGTGCACCCTCCTATATACATGAAAAATTAAGTTTCACCACCTTCCGAATTCTATGGACCATTTCTGAGTCAGCGTTCCCGGGATGTTGTGTAACTAACTGTTTGCCAAGACTGCAGCATAGAGTCTGGTTTTGATATTGCCCTGGCCTCTAGATCTCAACCTTCCTAACGCTGTGGCCCTTTAATACAGTTCTTCATGCTATGATGACCCCCAGCCATAAAATAATTTCATTGCTATTTCATAACTGTAATTTGGCTAGTGTTGCGGATCACAATGTCTGATATGCGACCTTTGTGGGGGCTGTGACCCACAGGTTGAGAACCACTGCTCTAGCGGCTCATCTAAGGTCTCGTGTGTATCACTGGCTCATTTCTTCTATGCCTGAGGTGTTTCCCAACCTGTTTGCTCATTAATTGACACACTGCATGTGAAATCCAATGGCAAAAGCACATGCAGGCTTCTGTGTGTGAATGTAGGTTTTCTTGGGTAAACACGTAGTGGGATTGCTAGATTATATATCTTAACTAGTAAGATATTGCATTGTCTAGCATAAGTAAGGCCCTTCTGATCCCAGAATCAAAAGGAGATGGGAGAGGGAAGCCAGAAAAGAAATTGCAAGTGTTTTGCAAAGTGGCTGTGCATTTTTGCATTCCCACCATGCATGGGAGCTTCGGTGGATGCAAATTTTACATTGTTGGCTTATTTATTTATTTATTTATTTATTTATTTATTTATTTATTTTCAACCATTCTTTATTGGATAGACTATTCTTTTTGCATTGAATTTCCTTTGCTACTTTGGTTAAGAAGCAATTGGCTTTCTTTGTGTGAGTCTATTTTTCTGTATTGCTTTCTTAAAAACATTTTTTTTTATGATTGTGGGTATTTTGCCTGCATGTATGTGGGTGCTGATAATTGAAGCCAGATCCTCTGGAAGAGCAACAAGTGCTCTTAGCCGCTGAGTCAGCTCTCTGGATGGCTGTTTCTGACGTTCTTTATTGTGTGCCATGAATCCACTGACCTAACCCTTCACCAGTACCACATTGTTTTTGTTACTGTGAGTTTATAGTCAGCATTAGAATCGCTATGTGGGGTGTGTGTGTGTGTGTGTAGGTCAGAGGACAACACTATGGAGTCAATTCTCTCTTCTCCTTCCACCTTTCCATGGGTTTATATGGATTCAGGCACTAAACTCACCAAGCATTCGCTGCAGGGTCCTTTACCTGTTGACCCTTTCCAGCCCACTTGTAGTTGTTTTTGTTTTTTAATGATTTAATCTGTTGGACAGAACTGCTGCCTCGGGTCTTTTCTATTTTTCTTTCTTTTCGTTTTCTTTCTTTCTCTCTCTCTCTCTCTCTCTCTCTCTCTCTCTCNGCATTCGCTGCAGGGTCCTTTACCTGTTGACCCTTTCCAGCCCACATGTAGTCGTTTTTGTTTTTTAATGATTTAATCTGTTGGACAGAACTGCTGCCTCGGGTCTTTTCTATTTTTCTTTCTTTTCGTTTTCTTTCTCTCTCTCTCTCTCTCTCTCTCTCTCTCTCTCTCTCTCTCTCTCTCTCTCTCTTTCTCTCTCTCTCTCTCCCTCCCTCCCTCTCGTAGTGCTTGGAATTGAACCTAGGACCATATACTAAGCAAATATATCATTAGGCAGTATTCTGACCCCAGGTTTTTTCTTTTTCATGGTGGCCTGTAGAATTCCAGTAGTTGCTTTTTTTTTTACATTAATTTATTTTTTAATTAATTTTACATTCCAACCAAGGTTCTCCCTGTGCTGAAGCTGTGATCCCTCTGGGCTCATGGGCTCGTGAGCTCATTCTCGTGCAGAATGGTCCTCTTTAGCTCCCACTGGTTTCTGGCCGCATAGCCATGTGCTGGCTGGCTGCCAGACCTGGCCAGGTTAGGACCAGTGCCTGGTTGGTGGCCAGAATCCTTGAGAACTGCATCCCTGAAGTCCCTGGGCCCTTGCCTCTCTACCTGAAGCTCCACTGTTCCACAGAGAACCCACACCTCTACCTACCTCCCCAGCTGAGGCATTTTTAAACTTTGTTTTGTCTCTTTGGGTTCTGAGCCTTGACTCCAGGGCCTTGTACATGCCAAACACATGCTATTCCACTGAGCTATACCCCAGATAAACTTTTTGATGTACTGGGTCTACTCAGTGTGGTGGGTGATGAGCGTGTAACCCTAGTCTGTCTTCTCTCTGGCCAGTGGCTGCATTAGAAGTGGACTGTTAGTGTAGATACATGGTGTGCTTCATTTCACAGATCTTGGAGACTTCTATTTTGACAAAGTTACTAAGCTTCAGGTCTTTTCTGGAGCGGTTTAGGAAGACAAGTGTTTGGGTGAAGGAGGAAGACTGGGGTGTCCTTCCGATCCCCTGGGCTCAGAGCTCACCTCGGTCTCTCTGGGTTTCAGTGAAGCGCTATGTCCGGAAGGGAATCCCACTGGAGCACCGGGCCCGTGTCTGGATGGCCGTGAGTGGAGCCCAGGCCCAGATGGATCAGAACCCTGGATACTACCACCGACTGCTGGAGGGAGAGGGCAGCCCCAGCCTGGAGGAAGCCATCCGGACAGGTGGGAAGCCTGTGCTCAGTGCCCTGGGCCCGTGTAGCTCGGATGGGGAGGGCAATAAGTTGAAGCCTGCGGATGCTGTGTTTGGGGCAGAAATCAAGACTAAAGTGTTCACGAGGGGAACAGCAGACGTTTATGGGACTACCAGCTTGTGAGCCGATGAGTGCACAGATGGAATTTCCTCTGTGGGGGGTTTAGGAGCTCCAGCAGCAGGCAGCACCATGGTGCTAAGCAGCAGTGGCCTTGGTCGTGTTCACTTGGCGTCACTGTGAAGGGTGCTCCCTGTACCCTGGTGTGAGACAGCCTTTATGACTGACCTGGGTGCTCTCTGTGCTCTTCTTCCCTGTCCTCTAGGACCCCAGTGACAGGACTTTGATGGCTCTCAGAAAGCTGAGTTGCCAGGCAGGGTGGCTCACACCTTACTTCCAGGAGGTGAGGCAGGAGGATCTCTGAGTTCAAGGCCAGACTGGTCTGCATAGCAAATTCTAGGACAAACAGGGCCACAGAGAGGGACCCTGTCTCAAAACAAAGATGGAACAGCAACAAACCCTACCATCCCCAAAAGCTCTGCAGTTAGCATACACGGAGTGTTGTGATATTAATATTTAGGAACCACAGCTGCATCTCCAAAGGGCAAAGGCCAGTGAACAATACCAGCGTAAACACAGTGTGCTGGAGTTTTGTTACCTAACAGAGCACAGAAGCCGAGGGGACAGCTTGTTCCTGCCATGGGCAGGGCTGTTCTGTGGCTCCCACTGCCTCTGAGTCTCTGCTCACATGGCCAGGGCCTGTGGGGGCCGAGGGAGTATGGGGCCCTGAGGCAGTCTGTGGGGGCTGAGGCAGTCTGGGGGCTGAGGTCGTCTGTGGGGGCTGAGGTGGTCTGTGGGGGCTGAGGCAGTCTGTGGGGGCCTGAGGCAGTCTGGGGGCTGAGGCAGTCTGTGGGGGCTGAAGTAGTCTGTGGAGGCTGTGGAACCCAGCCAGAGGTCTCAGAACACAGCTCTGCCCGAGGTTCTCAGCGAGCTATGGTGCTGACTTAGGCTGAGAAGCACAGGTCCTCAGTATTTTAGCCTTGTGTATTTTAGATAATAGTAGACTATCGCTGTTTATTTGGAAAATGAGTTTAAGGTTCTGTTTAGTGTATTTTAAGAAAATAATTATTGTGGGAAAATATGCATATCATCGTTCACATTCTATTTCCCAAACCGAAACCATCCCCTGTAAACACTAACATCTTTTATGGTAAGATTTTCTTTGCACCTCCAACTTCCAAATATTGACGCAGAGACTTGTTACTAATTATGAAAGCTTGGCTTTAGCTTACACTTGTTCCCAGCTAGCTCTTACAACTTAAATTGTTTATATTAATCCATGTTTATATAATGTGGCTCATTACCTCTGTTCAGTATCATGCCGTCCACTTCCTCTGTGTCTGGTGAATTCCTCACCTCTCAAACCCTCCTCCTCAGTTCCTCCCTCTCTCCACAAGTCTCGCCTGTCTTCTCCTGCCTAGCTATTGGCCATTCAGCTCTGATTGTTAAACCAATCAGAAGGTGCCTTGGCAGAGCCGCCTTCACAGTGTAGGAAAGGGCTCTTCCACAACATTCAGCTCTGGCAGGTGTCAGTTCTGCTTTTGTCTCTTACCGTCGATCCTGTGGGACACGTGCAAGCTCCATCACATAGCCATTTTTAAATTATTTGCTTATTTTTGAGACAGGGCCTCACTGTGTAGTCCTGGGGCTGGCCTAGAACTTGCCATGTAGACCAGGCTGGCCTCAGCTAACAATCTGCATGGCTCTACCTCCCAACAGCTGTTAGACAGGATGGTCTTCCGGTCTGGCCTGGAACTCTGTATGTAACCACGGATGACCTGTCTCTGCCTTCTGAGTGCTGGGATTACAGGTATATGCTACCATAGCTGGTGTATGTGGTGCTGGGAATCAAACCAGGGCTTTCTCCATGCGGACGGGCACCTATCAGCTGCGCCCCATCCCTAGCCCTGGTTTATGCTGGACCGTCTGGATAAATAACCACACGGTGGACTTTCTGTGTCCACAGAATCACTTTGGTGCTGCACAAACAGGGCACTGAGCCTTGTCTACACTTGACTTTACCTGTGTCACAGAAAGACACTGCTGTGTGGCGAAAATGTCACAGCCAGGGGTACCGTATAGGGTGAATGCAGCCTGCACCGCTAGTCTCAAGTGGCTAGGCCCTACTCTCCTGTGACCGGTCTGCGTCATGGAATGTTTATGCTTCCAGGGGAGATGTTTTGGGCCTGGGAGGTTAGGGAGGGTGAAAGGCTGTGGCAGCAGGAAGGGGTGGGGCGGCGCAGGGCACAGAAGTGTCTGCACAAAGCCCAGCAGCGGAGTTTATTTAATTCCTGGTTATCACCTTATCTCTGGAGGGAGTCTTGGCCTGTTCTCCTTCCTGCTTCTGGGCGGGTTTTTGTTTCAGTTCTTTTGAAACTGCAGCTCACTTTGTAGCCCAGGCTAGCCCCAACTCTGCAGTCATCCTGCCTTGGCCTCCTGGGTTGGGTTACAGGCCTGAGACACCACGTCTAGCTTTGTGTTGTTTGTTAAGACAGACTTTCATTCCATAGCCCTGACTGACCTACCAGCCCCTAAGTAGAGCAGGCTGTCCTTGAACTCACAGAAACCTGCCTTCTCTCCAGAGCACTGGGATTAAAGTATTAGAGAGGGGTGTGCTCCATGCCCAACCCTAGTCTTTTATAGTTGATCTTTGAATCTGGAGGCCTTTTCCCCACGCTGACAGTAATTGGAGTGTCCCGTGGGAGACCGAGGGTCCAGGCAGCTGCCTGCCATTCCCAATTCGGAAAGAGCACTAGGACCCATCCCTGCCCTCCTTCCTGGTACCTGTACCTTCTCCTGGGCTAAGGATCTTGTGTGCAGAACGCCTGAGGTGGTAGTTGACTCGGGTGCAGCCAGGGTGGTGCCACTGCTCAAATCCGAGACAGAGTCTGGCCACCTTGGCAGCTGCAGAAAGGTTGACGGTGACGCTGGTGCATTTCTGTGTAGACCTGAACCGGACGTTCCCTGACAACGTGAGGTTCCGGAAGACGGCGGAGCCTTGTCTGCAGAAGACCTTGTACAACGTGCTGCTGGCGTACGGGCTACACAACCAAGGTGTGGGGTACTGCCAGGTGAGCCCCCAGGCAGAGCTGGCATGTGTTGGGAGGTGTCATTCGATACCCCATAGGTCCATAGCAGTGACATTCTGCAGGTACAAACAGTTAGTACTCAGGCATCTGCACTAGCCTGCCCTTAGGGTCCTTACAGGATGGTCCTCAGCTGCAGCCACTAAGGACACCTCCTATGCACATTTGCTACGTTCCCTTTTAAAAGGTGGGCCTTGTGCACCTCCCAGCTCGCTCTTTCTCTCTCCATTTCTCTCTGCTTGTCCTTTTCTCTCTCTTCTTCTTCTCTGCCTGCCTCTCTTCCCTCTCTTCTCTCTTCCCTCTCTTCCCTCTCTTCCCTCTCTCTCCCCCCCCCCTTCTGCTGCTCCTGTCCCCAGAGTCTGGTCTCCCCCCTCCCCTTCCCTCTTTTTCCGTCTCCTTTCCCCCAATAAAGACCCCTCCACGTGAACTCTGTTGCATGGCGTTTTTCTCTTGCGCGGTGCTTTTTAAATGACTATACAAACTTTATTCCTGAGTCATGGGCGTTGGGTTGGGATGCCTGTCTCAAAGTTGGCCTAGCTTTCTGTGTGTCCCTGCTGGAAAAGCAGGGGACACCTGCCGGATGACTTTGAGCTGTCACATAGTGAATAAGGTGAGGGTGGAAGCTGGGAACAATGGGAGTGACATTGAGAGGCACAGAATGAAAAGGAGGCTGGGGTCTGAGGTGCACTGTGCAGACATTCTGTGGGTGTGGCCACCGTGTGATACAGGGCCAATCTCTCGCAGTTGCTTCTGGAAGCCTGGTGTAATAGATCCTACCTGCAGATTTTGGTCTTGTGTGGATTGCCAGCTGGGAAGCAGTTTCCTGATTGTGGTTGAGAGTGTGCTGGAACTATGCACTTGCAAACTGGCTAAACCAAGAATGACTCTGGAAATACGAGACCCAGGTGTGGGCTGGACAACAGTCAGGGCTACCTCCTCTGCAGCTGTTTCCTGCTTCCTGTCCAGGCTCCACCCAAGAATCTGAGACTTCTGGGAATGTTGTTTCCATATTTGCCCTGCTTGTCATCAGTGTCTCAATCTCCCTTTTTGTAAGGCCACACACCATCTAGCCGAAGGTCTCTATTCCAAGGGAACCTCATTTTAGCTAGAAAATCTGCACAGACCTGTCTCCAAGTGAAGCCATACTCCAAGACAGAAGACTTCTGCCTTTGGGGACTGTCTTAGGTTTCTATTGCTGTTAAGAGACACCATGACCACAGGAACCCTTATAAAGGAAAACATTTCATTGGGACTGGCTTATAGTTTTGGAGTTCATTGTCCTCATGGTGGACATGGCGGCATGCAGGCAAACATGGTGCTAGAGAAGGAGGCAAGAGATCTATATCTTGATCCACAGGCAACAGGAAGTGAACTGAGGCCCTGGGCACAGCTTGAGCATAGGAGACCTCAAAGCCCAACCAGACAGTGACACACTTCCTCCTCCAAGTTCATAGCTACTCCAACAAAGCCACACCTCCTAGTAGTGACACTCTCTATGGGGACACAGTCCTGCCCATGACATGGGGAGTCATAAAGTGCTAGCAAGTGGCTTTGCATTTGCTTTGATGAAGCTGTGCTGACTTCCACAGCTTCCGTGTGAGCACCAATACCTTGCTGGCATCTTCCCAGTTGCCGTCACTCTCATGACCCAGGGACACAGAGCTGCTCCCGGCCTCTGGGCTGTCACGGTGCCTTGGTCTGTACACTTTTCCTTCTTTACTTTTTTCATTGCTGGGCATTATATTTTCATGATTGAAAAGTTCTCTGTTACCCGGGTGGTGGCGGTGCATGCCTCTAATCCCAGCAGAGGCAGGCAGCAGGCGGATCTCTGTGAATTCAAGGCCATCCTGATCTACAAAGCGACTTCCAGGACAGGAACCAAAGCTACACCCCATCTCGGAAAAAAAACCAGGAAGGAAGGAAGGGAGGGAGGGAGGAAAAGAGAGGAAGGAAGGGAGGAAAGAGATCAGCAGCGGTGCCTGCCTTTTCCCGGGTCGCTGGAGATCCGCATTCAGTGTGGAACAAACAGTTTACCAGGGCCGCCTCCCTAGGCCCTGTGCCTCTTGTGTGTGGAGGACATTCTGAGGTATTAGAGACTGGGTGCCCGGCAGTGGCAATTGGCTCCTGGTAAGTGTATCTTGTAGAAGCTTAGACAGAACAAAAGGGAGGAAGACAGAAATTACGCAAGGGTTCATTCTCTCAGAGGTGACAGGAGCACACATTGCTAGGTCTCCGTCATGAGCTTCGAGGGCCATGACCTCTGCCTGGCTTTGTGCCAGTACTTGGAGCTCCTGCCCTTTGCGGGGAGTCCTCACTGTCCCACCCCATCAGTCAGGACTTCTTGTTGCTTGCCTTTTGTGGGAGCTGAGGATTGATCATGTGAAGCGGGTGCCTTACATTTGAGCTATTCCTGGGGCCTCTTTTCACTTCTATTTAAGATTTATTATTTATTATGTATACAACATTTTGCCTGCATGTCAGACAGGGGAGCAAATCTCATTATAGACGGTTGTGAGCCACCATGTGGGTGCTGGGAATTGAACTCAGGACCTCTGGAAGAGCAGTCGGTGCTCTTAACTTCTGAGCCATCCCTCCAGTCCCCTCTGTTCACTTTCTTATTCTGAATCAGAGTCTCTAGGCTGCCTTGAACTCCCGGTTCTCCTACCTAAACTTCCTAAAACACTGGGATCATAGGACTTATGTCACCAGGCCTGGCTGATCTTTGCTGATTGAAACACGATTAATAAAAACTCAGAGACAGAAATTGGGGATCAGCCTGAAGGTCAGCAAAGCAAAACAGCCAGCCACTGGCTCTTACCTCGACCTCAGTCTGAAATGGGAATCCTGCCTCCAGGAATCTCAGAATGAGACTGTCGGAGAGCTGTCTCCTCCTGTTTTATAATCCTCTCTAGGGCTGGGATTAAGGGTATGCACCACTACCACTTGGTTTCTGTGGCAACTAATGTGGCTACTGGGATTAAAGGTGTGTGTCACCACTACCTGGTCTGTAAGGCCAGCCAGTGTGGCTGTTTTACTTTTCTGATCCTTGAGCAAGCTTTATTTATTAAAATACAGATGAAATGCCAGTACAGCTACTGTCTCAAACACAGTCACTAGCGGATTGCCAGAGCTCTGTACTGGTCAGACTGATCCCCACCGACTGTGCCACAAGCCAGCAGTCGGAAGAGAAAGCCTTCGGTTTTCTATTCTGGTGGCAATTGGTGTTGTTCAGGTTGAGTTCCCTCTTTCACGTTGAATGGCTGGACAGTACAGACAGTTAGCCTTGGGTCTCTACTGTGCCATGCAAAGGTGGGTCTAGAGCAGTGGTTCTCAACCTGTGGGTCTCTACCCCTTTGGGGAGTCGCATATCAGACATCCTGCATATCAGAGATTTACAGTTTAGAGTTTTGAAGCAGCAACGGAAATAGTTGTATGGCTGGGGTCACCGAATGTTCAGTGACGGCAGCGTTAGGAAGGTTGAGAACCCCTGCTCTAGAGCGCCCCGAGTTTCCAGGAAGGGCACAGGAATGGGAACCTACCATGAGCTGAAATACTGCACTCTGTCTGTCCAGCACTCAGGTGAGGTTTGTGTCTCATTCTGATTTCAGGGAATGAATTTCATAGCAGGATATCTGATCCTTATCACCAAGAACGAAGAGGAATCTTTCTGGCTCCTGGACGCTCTTGTTGGAAGAATACTACCTGGTGGGTTGAAAGTTCTCTTTGTCCTGCCCCGTCCTTGCCCTCACTCCGCCCGGCTTCTGATGCCTTCGACATCCTGATGGCTGGGCCGTCAGGATGGAATGAAAATGGCTGGGTTAACTCAGGGATGGAGCACTTCCTGGCTTTTGTGAAGGAAGGTCTTGGGTTTAATCCCCATCACTGGAGAGAGTGAGGAGAGGGAAGAAATCTAGTGAAAACGTAGTTGGTTTGTGGAAGCCGAAGTTAAGACTTGGGTTCTGTGGTCTCTGCTGAGGGTGTGGGCTTGCCTTTGGGCAGGTGTTCTCCATGGCCCCTTCCTTGTGTTTGTGTGTAGTGTGCGTGTGTACATGTGTGTGTGTGTGTGGGCTTCATGAAGTTGAGTTGATTACATGTGAGCCACACAGCTCAGATGTTGTACTGAGTTTGTGACAAAGCACACTGTTGACAGATGTACTGAGTTTGTGAGGAAGCACACTGTTGACAGATGTTGTTCTGAGTTTGTGAGAAAGCACACTGTTGACAGATATTGTACTGAGTTTGTGAGGAAGCACGCTGTTGACAGATGTTGTACTGAGTTTGTGAGAAAGCACACTGTTGACAGATATTGTACTGAGTTTGTGAGGAAGCACGCTGTTGACAGATGTTGCTGCTTTCGAAGCTGGGAGTCGCTAGTCCTTTTCAGTCTGCCGACCTGCTGTCTGTTAACAGAGAACAGTCACCAGGTGTAGTAAATCCAGTGTAATCAAGTCGCCACGGGCTGCAGTGAGGGTAACCAGGAAGAATCAGTGCTGTCCTGAGGGAGGTGACTTGGAACAGAGAGATTTCCTGCCTGTTCAGTCCTGTGCCTGGACCCTCAGAAGTGAGTTAGAACACAAGAGGGTGTGTGGCCTTGAGCCAGGGATGTTTTTCTAGTTCCTGGGTCCTTGATAAACTTCAAACACAGCCTCGCTTCAACCTAAGTTGCGTGTTCATATTGGTCAGGCCCATTTCCCAGATGAGGAAACCGGAAGCCTAGAGAATATGTCAAGGCCGATCCACTGCTGTTTTTTCTGAGCCTAGTTTCTGACGTACCAGGACTGGGTTCTGGGGTTCTGAGGACTGCATGTGTCCTCGCTGAGGCGTGTGGTAGGGTTGTGCTGGTGGACAGGGACCCACCAGAGAGAAGCCAGCTCCCTTTCCTCCTGCTGTTAGTCCACAGGGGTAGGGTATGCGAGCTGGCTGGTTCAGTGTTAGCTTCCCACAAGCTAGAGTCATTGGGAAGGGGGAACCTCGGCAGGGGAAATGCCCTCACCAGACTGGCAAGCGTGTGGCACATTTTCTTGAATGCTGATTGATGGGGCAGGCCTACCTCACTGTGGGTGGTGCCATCCCTGGGCTGGTGGTCCTGGGGTCTATAAGAAATCAGGGTGAGCAAGCCATGAAGAGAGAGACACTAAGCAGCTCCCCTCCATGGCCTCTGCATCAGCTCCTGCCTCCAGATTCCTGCCCTGCTTGAGGTCCTGTCTGACTTCCCTTGATGATGGACTGTGATATAGAACTATAGCCAAATAAACCCTTTTCTCTGCACCTTGCTTTTGGTCATGGTGTTTTATCACAGCAGTAGAAACCCTAAGTAAGATGAGGAGGCCGGGCATGGAGGCACAAGCCTTTAATCCCATCACTCAGGAGGCAGAGGCAGGCTCCTTTTGAGTTTTGAGTTCAACCTGGTCTGTATAGCAAGTTCCAGTTTATCCAAGGCAACACAGGAGTCCCCATCTCAAGAAAGAAAGAAAGAAAAAAAAAGCCCATAAAAAGCCCATGCTAGGAGTTTTAGTTAAAGATGCCACGAGTGAGGTCGCTTGTAGTACGGAGGAAGTGTGTGTGGTCCTTATGGGTGACGCGGTTAGTATCGGGATTGTGGCTACAGAAATCCAGCTTGGGAGGGAGGAAGGGAGGGAGGGAGGGAGGGAGGGAGGGAGGGAGGGAGGGAGGGAGGGAGGGAGGGAGGGAGGGAGGGAGGAACGTGGAGGGCTCTTGGAGTAAGGAGAGGCAAGCTCCTGTAGTGTGAGTTGTCAGGTGTCCTCTGTCCCTTATCTGCGGGAAGCCTGTTGGAAATGCTTATTTATGCTATAAATTGGGGATGTGAGAGATTGAGTGACTCTCCCAGGCCACCTGACTAGCCCAGGGCTGTCCCGGTCCCACCTCTGGGCCATTGATTGAGGCTGGGTCTAGCCCCACCCCTCCCCTCGTCTGTCTTCCTCCCTGGAGTTGTGCCTGTCAGTCAGCAGCTAAGCAGAAGTTGCCTGAGGACTGTTTTGTTTTGAGACAGGGTTTCACTATATACCCCTGATTGTCTTGGAACTTGTAAAATAGACCAGGCTGGCCTCGAACTTCAAGATCCCCAGGTGTGTACTATCACGCCTGGCTCCAGACTAGGGACTTTGTTTTTCCTGTCTGTTTATCTCTTCTTACCCTAGTGTCCCAGAACATGGGAATCTTTTTTTTTCCCTTTTTCTTTTTTTTTTTTCTTTTTCTCCCCCCACCCCGAGATAGGGTTTCTCTGTAGTTTTGGTTCCTGTCCTGGAACTAGCTCTTGTAGACCAGGCTAACCTCAAACTCACAGTAACCCGGCTGCCTCTGCCTCCAGAGTGCTGGGATTAAAGGTGTGCACCACCACCGCCCGGCCTGATCTTGAGCCTCTGACCCTCCTCTCACATTCAGTGCTAAGAAGAGAGTCAAGAGTAATCACACTCGCTATGGGGTGCTGAGAATAGAACCCACTAGGTAAGCACTCTACTGTCTGAGCCATTTCCTTGGCACCTTCCTTATGAGGCAAAGCCGCAGTTCATCCAAGCAGCCTGGACCTCCTGGGCTCATGAGAAACCTTGTGCACAGCTTCCCAGTGCATGGGCTGTAATTTTCCCACTGTAGGAGCTGCATGCTTCCCAATGCACGGGTTACATGCACTCCACCCCCAGCTTCCCACTGCAGGGGCTGCATGTACTCCACCTCAGCTTCCCACTACAGGGGCTGCAATTTTCCCACTGCAGGAGCTGCATGCCAGGAACTGCATGCTTTCCACTGCAGGGGTTGCATGTACTCCACCCCTGGCTTCCCACTGCAGGGGCTGCATTGCTCCACCCCCAGCTTCCCATCTTTTTTTTTTTTTTTGGTTTTGGTTTTTGTTTTTTCGAGACAGGGTTTCTCTGTGGCTTTGGAGCCTGCCCTGGAACTAGCTCTTGTAGACCAGGCTGGTCTCGAACTCACAGAGATCCGCCTGCCTCTGCATCCCGAGTGCTGGGATTAAAGGCGTGCGCCACCTAGCTTCCCATCTTGATGACTTTTAAAGTCCATTTACTTTCGTTGCTCATGCTCACCAGTTACGTTCTCAAGTTCTCAACCTTCAGACCCACAGAAGCATTTCTCATCCGTTCAAAAGAGCGGTGTATGCTGGGAATGGTGGCCCACACCGTCGTCAGAGGGTCAGGAGTTCACGGACAGCCTGAGACACCTGGGGAATTCCTATCTGAAAGGCCAGGAGAGTGGGAGATAATTCAGTACCACTTCAGACTGCAGGGTGCACCCCAAGACACGGGCTACTGGGCGCTGAGCCTTGGTCTGCCGTTCTTTCCTGGGGGCACACACCTGTGATGACTTGTGAGTTAGGCACCATCAGGAGCGCACCGTGAGACGTGCTAGGGAAGACAGCCTCTCCCAGAATGCCTTGTTTCGACACCCTTGAGGTCAAGGAGGCTCTGGGATTTAGACTAGAAGCACACAGGTGACATTCTGTAGGTTGGGGCCCCTGTAGGTAGCTGTGTTGAGCTGGACTTTTGCTATGGCTAGGGTTTAGGACAAATGAAGGAACCCCAGACGCTTTATCCTGAAGATTAGACTCCTCTGTCTCTGCTCTTTGCCTCAGACTTGAGAGCGATCCTCAGGATGTCCTTTAACTAGGGATGTGGCTGTGTGCTGGTAGGTAGAGCTGGGGTGAGGATCTGTGAGCAGGGCACAGAGCCACAGAGTGGTAACCCCAGGGCACAGCAAGGGAAAGGCACTGGTCTCCAAGGCTGAACCTCCAGACCTGGGCCCTCATTGAGAGATGACCGAGCTATGGAGATCTACCTGCGAGGCCTGGGTGTGAGCGTTGTGTGTGTGCGTGTATGTGTGAGGTACTTTTTTTTTTTTTTTTGTTTTTTCGAGACAGGGTTTCTCTGTAGCTTTGGTGCCTGTCCCAGAACTAGCTCTTGTAGACCAGGCTGGCCTCGAACTCCCAGAGATCCTCCTGCTTCTGCCTCGCAAGTGCTGGGATTAAAGGCGTGCGCCATCACCGCCCGGCTCCCTAGTGGTTCCTAACAGAAGGTGCCGGTTCCTCCATTCCCAGCAGAGCCTCTCTGCCAGCCTGCAAACTGGCACTAGTGATAAGTCCTTTTGACATGTCCTATCTGTGATTGGTAGCAAACTGCATGTGTGACCCAGAATGCATACAACTGCATATGGAAACATGTGGAATGAAAAGTCTAAGAAAGTCAGCCACCTGCAGACCACACCACTCTGTGGCTCTTCCTGGATTTGCTATCAGAACGTGGGGACTTCTGCCTTTTGTGGGGCAGCCAGGATGTGGTGGCTGAGCTAGGTGTAGGGCTCTGAACAAAGGCATGGATGTTCCTGGACTAGGAGAGGCACTGGAGCTAGGGCTGTGCATGGCTCTGGGCCAGTATGCAGTGTGGTCATGCCACAGGAGAGTGGGAGGAAGGTGGGGAGGTGAAGGGGTTAATGTAATCCTCCCCTGGGAGACCTCAGGCCAGGCCTAGAGTTCGAATGGCTCTATTTTTGGAAGCTACTCTAAGCTTCCAAGCAAGGCCAAGGTCATGAAATGCTCCTTTGCAAATCTTCCCTGCCTCTGCTGGGAGGACAGACCAGGGGATGGCCCTGGCTGTCTCTGCACTCGCCTCTCCAAGCTCAACAGGATGAACCGCTAGCACAAGCCAGCTGGGTGTGTAATCCTAGCTTGTAATCCGTGCATTTAGGAGGTCAGGGCAAGGGGGTCACCAATTGTAGGTCATCCTGGGGTTCAGAGTGAGAACCTATCTCAGAAACCTTCCCACAGTCACCAGCAACACCCAGAATAAGTCACCAGCAGAAACAAGGCAGAGAACAAAGAGTAGAAAGGCCCCCAGAGAAAGATTCAAGGCAAGTGTGTGGAAGAGGACAGCTTCTCCTTCCTCCTTCCTTGAGCTAGGCTGCCCTGCACTCCCATGTCAACAGAGTCAGTTCCAACCCTGGTGTCAAATGAGTGTGCCCTCTTCATCCCATGCCCCAGTGGCTCACTTCATGAGCAAGACACTGTTGGTGTATAGTTAGTGTGCCATGGCTTTCTGTCTTGTCATAGATTTAATGATTTCTTTTGTAGCATAAACCAGGCATTGACATTGCCCTAACAAGTTTTTAAAAAAGTTAAGTAGGAAGGCCAGTGAGATGGCTCAGAGGGCAAAGCCACTTGTCTCCTAGGCAACCACATTGCTGAACAGAGGGGGCTGAGTCCAGAAGCTGGTCCTCTGATCTCCATCTGCATGGCTGTGACGGCCCACCTGCCCCTCCTGCCCACTGAATAAAGCACTGTAATTTAAAGAAAAAAAAAATAAATAGGAAACCCAAAAGTATTTTGTTAAGACCTGTGTTCTCAAATGAAATGCTGTTGGAAGCATTTGTGAGAATTTGATTATTGTTGTAATATAAAATTTTTAACCTAACATTTCCTTCCCCATCCCTCTGCTGCTCCCCATCCACCCCATATAGCCCAGGCTAGTCTCAAACTCACTATCCAGATAAGTGCTACTGTCCCAAGTGTTGGGATTTCAGGTGTGCCACCATACCTAGTTTTATGAAGCACTGGATAAACTCAGGGCTTATTGCCTGCTAGACAAGACAAATGCCATGCCAGCTGAGCCGTATCCCAGCCCTGAGAATCTGAAACTGTCCCATTAACCTATGCCTCCTGTTCCTCACCTGTTTGCTGTGGCCTGAACCTATCCTGAGGACGTCATAGAGCCATTGACCTGTGACTCCTATTCCTAACCATGGTTTACCTGAGTCTATGTCCTGAGGGCTTGTCTTTTCTAAGCTTACTAAGCTGGGTGCCTTCGAGGCTCTTCCACGGAGGAGCTTATGTCAAAATTTCCTCCCATGGGTCATGAATCTTTTTCTGAACGGAAGATGAAACCCAAGAGCCGTGAGCTTGCTATCTACACCAATGCTCTACCACTGGCCTACACCCTTAGCCCTCTTCTTAACTTTCATTTTGAAACAGGGGCTCATGAACTATCCAGGCTATCCTTGACCTCTCTGCAGCTCAAGCAGTCCTTGAATTTAGCCTCCCAAGAACCTGGGAATATAGGATTCTGCCCCCAGGCCCTACTGATCTGAGTCTTGTTCTGTCCCCTCTATGTGGCAGATTACTACAGCCCAGCAATGCTGGGGCTGAAGACTGATCAGGAGGTCCTGGCAGAGCTGGTGAGGATGAAGCTGCCAGCGGTGGCAGCCCTGATGGACGCCCATGGTGTGCTGTGGACCCTGCTGGTATCCCGCTGGTTCATCTGCCTGTTTGTGGACATCCTGCCTGTGGAGGCGAGTACCCTGATCAAACTCAGGGCCTGTGGGGGCTGCTGTGGAGTGACTGGGGATCTCTGTCTCCACAGACGGTGCTACGGATCTGGGACTGCTTGTTCAACGAAGGCTCCAAGATCATCTTCCGGGTTGCTCTGACCTTAATTAAGCAACATCAGGAATTTATATTGGAAGCCAGCAGTGTTCCAGACATCTGTGACAAGTTCAAGCAGATCACCAAAGGGGACTTTGTGACTGAGTGTCACACGTTCATGCAGGTAAATTCTGGACTGCTTGGCTTGTGCAGGGAGGGGCACTTTTCTGTTCCACCCAGCAACTGTCAAGTGTCCTGGTGTCTCTGCTGAGTATCAGTTCCTGTGAGCAGCTCCCTCCCTCTTGAAGCTATGGCTGGAGTTGAGAGCTGCCCAGGTGGCTACAAGTCTCTCTGATCTCAAGTCTGAGGCTACTGCTCTTCACCTGGAGTGCTTGTTCTGTTGTCTGGGAGAGGGGGCAGGCATGTTAGTGAGGCCTCCAGGTCCTCAGCTAGCTCAGTCTCATCACCAGCTCTGTTGACCACCAGTTTTCAGAAGGCCATAACTACCTCCTGCCCTGATCCTTGGCACCTCAGAGGGCCACTTGTGAGGCTAGGAAAGCAAGCTGTGTGGACCGACTGGAAACTGCTAAGGACGAGGTGGGGATGAGACTGGGCAAAACCAAGGCTGGAGGACTGAGAAGCCAGCAGAGCCCAGAGCTGAGTGACCCTGGCAGGAACCCATGCAAAACAGAACCTGAGGTTTCAAGTTTTTGTTGGTTTGATTCAGGGCTGGCTTGGACCTTCTTATGTAGACAACACTGGACTCAAACTTCAGATATCAGGCTGTCTTCTGAAGGCTGGGGTTAAAAGTGCATCGTCACATCCAGCACTAAGTCTGAGGATGCTGCAGAGGTCTTTTCCATGTTCTGTTCTACCATGCTTGAAGCCCCTTGCTGGCAAGCACCCTGTGAGGCTGAGGCAGGGGTGGGTGCCTTTATTCCCAGCACTCAGGAGGATCTTTGTGAGTTCAAGGCCAGCCTGGTCTTGAACATTGAGTTCTAGAATAGCCAGAACTACATAGAGTCCCTGTCTGGGAAAAAAAAAAAACAAAAAACAAAAAACAAAAAAAACAAACCCACAAAACTTTAGTCCTAGAGCTCCACTAGGGAGGCCAAGACCGGAGGATCTATGTGAGAGGCCATCCTGGTCTACAGAGTTCCAGGCCAGCCTGGGCTACACAGAGAAACCCTGTCTCAAAAAAAACCCAAAGTTGTTAAAACAAAACCACCAAAATTTACCACTGGGGTACATACCTCTAGAAAGGATACCCATACATACCTGGGTTGCTTCTAATTTTTGGAGTTCAGATGAAGTGTGAGCAGTTCTGAGTAGGTAAAGGGACGGGAACCTGTGGTGGGGCCCCGTAGGGACCTGGGAAACAACCCCACAGCTGTTTCCCATTCCTCATATTAGGAGGCTGAAGCCAAGCCAGGGAGGTCTAGGTGTGGTGGAGAGAGCTCGTCCGTGAGCTTCTTGGAGTTGGGGCTTCATCCCAAACTTAAGTACAATAGCAACATAGAATAAAAAAAAGCAGACAGACTCCAGGCTTTCCAGAACCAGCGGCTCACAGGCTGCAGAGGATCTGTGCTCTCATAGACAAGAGTCAAGTGTCTGGACAGTGCCTGGGGGACATCCTTCCTTCATATCTACAGGCAGGTAGTGACTGCCACCAGTTCCTGTCCCCATGAAGAACTGGGACTGACAGTTATGTTTTATTGTCCCTGTGCCCTGAGTGATATAAAATCATGTTTTGCAGCTCTTGTTATCATTATCTTTGCAGTTATAATTGAATTATTTGGTCTAGTGAAACGGCTCGGTGAAGGCACCTTGCCACCTCCCCTGAGCCTGGCTCATGGAACAATACATCTCATCTTTCCACAGCCATTTACATGGTGCTTCTTGGGAAGAATGGATTAGATTGTTTTCTCGGGAGCTGGAATAACCTCTCCTGTGCCATCTACAAGATAGAGCCCACATGGTCTTCTCTCACAGACCTGGAGGAAATGATCTACATTCATGGGTAGAAGCCTAAGTGTGGCTCACGCTGTGTACCTCATTAGTTTGGTTTGGATGCCAAGCGAACAAACTCAGACATGCTTTCATGTGATGTGGAGGCAGGGATGCCCAGGCCGTACCTTACCTTTCCCAGAGAACTATCTCCATTCCTCTGGTCTCCTCATCACGTGGCAGAGCCAGACCCTGAGCTGAGCGTGACACACCAGGACTGAGAGTCTTGGTTGACTGACCTCTGTACCTCAGGATTGTAAAAGTCACTGTTGCTTGGGATTTGGAGAAACCGAAAACTAAGTGCACTGAGCACTGTGGCTGTCTTGGGGTAACCGCTTTAGGGTAGCACAGGGCACTGTGCTGCCGTATCTTCGGGGAGATGGAATCTTCACCCAGGCCACCTCCCTGTCAAAGCTTGGCAGGTTGGTCAGCCTGCTAGGTGCCAATCTTTTTTTTTTTTTGAGCCAGGGTTTCTCTGTGTAGCCAAGGGCTATCTTAGAACTCAACTCTATAGACCAGGCTGGCCTCAAACTCACAGAGACCTGCCTGTGCCCGTCCCTTAAGTGGTGGGATTAAAGTAACACCACACAAAGTGAAAAAATGTCATGAGGGGTTGTTTGGAAAGACACACTTGCCTCTTTTGCAGAAAATCTTTTCAGAGCCAGGCAGCTTGTCCATGACGACCATCAGCAGGCTGCGTGAGAGCTGCCGGGCTGCGCTGCTGACCCAGGGCTGAGGCCCACGCCCATTTCGCTGCTGCGACTCTACCGCCACAGAAGACACTTTACCGATTCCGACCGCGCTGTTCCTCTGTAAATACTTGAAGTCTTGACACTAGTAATGTGAACTTTTAAAAGAAAATGATTTAAAATGTGCTCTAAACATTTTGCCTATCTTTGGAGTCAGAATTAGAATTATCTGGCCCAGTGAGATGGCTCAGCAATCGTCTACCAAGCCGTACCCGGGTCCTGGGACCTGTATGTTGTTTTTTGAGACATACGCACACAATGGAAATATCTATTTTCCCTGAGATGTCGGGAACATGAGACAGGAAGCACACGTTTTGTTGAGTAGAGGTCAGCGCTGAGTTTCCTAGTGCCATTCAACCTGAAGTTAGTGACTGTCACGTGTGGCCCACCCCTACCTTCCCAGGATACTTTCGTGCTGTGCCTACACAGACAGGGCCCTATGAGGGATAGATGGAGCAGAGCAGCCCACCTGCTAAACATGGTTATACTTGATTTTTAGAAATGGACCTTACAGCTAGGTTGGTGAGGTCCCTGTCCTCCATTCAGACCTTCTAAAACACCCACCCTAATGTCCCATAGCCACAGCACAGCCTGGCTGACAAAATCTCCCCTGGGACAGGCTGTTCATATGAAGCTAGATCATCAGGTCTTGACCAATGGCAGCTGCCATTAGTTGCAAATAAGCACTGAGTCCAGTCCATTGTCTTACAGCCAGTATGACAGCTGAAAGGTGACTCCCCCCCCCCCCCAATCATTTACAGAGCTGCCCAGTAGTCTTACCTGGATGGCCCCAAATCCTCTAAAGCGTGATGCACTAACTCTGTCTGGGAGTGGGCAGACCCAGAGCTGTACCTAACACTACTGTAGAGGTATTTCACAATGCAGTATACACGCCACGCCCCCAAGGTATAGCTGGGAGGGAAGTGTGCTGGGGCCCCAGGGAGCAGCTGGAGTCACATGGGGGAGAACTCCTGTGCTCAGTCTGAGTGGTAGAGAGCCTGCCCCAGTCAAGGAACAGAACTCTCTTCAGCTCAGTCCCTTTCTAACAGCTGACTTCAAGCTGCTCCTGTTCTGTTCAGACCAGAAAGGTAAAACCTGCAGCCACCCTGCCAGCGACCCCAACAGAGTATCTCTGGAGGTACAAATTCCCTCTCCCCAAAGGCAGGAGTCTTAGGGCTTGGGTCTAGAACCCCTTTGGTGACCGGACAGGAGGCTCGAGTTCCAGGGCCAGCAAGCAAACCTTGGAAGTGCTTGCCAGTGTGGAGTCTGCATTGTTTGCTGTTGGCTTCTGAAGTCAGAGACACATGATGCTTCTATGGCAGGGTTCCTGTTATGTCTTCTGCACTCAGAGGGAGATGGCCCACAAGATGGGGTGGGGCACTTTTTAGGACAGTGACCTCTCACATCAATGAATACAGCTGCTGTGGTCATTGGAGAGGTTTCCCAAGTCCTTACAAATCCCACCTGTGAGCAGAAGACACTGCAGATGGCTGCAGCTGCTTAGTCTGGCATGGCCTGGTCTGTGCCAGACAGCCTGTGCCTGAGAGGACAGAAAGGAGGGTGGGCAGATCAGACCTTCAAGGAAACAGCGCTGGCCTCTTCGGCTCAGCCAAGGTCTGATGTGTAAGTGGTTCTTGTGACACAGGTGTGGCTCATCTGGAGACTGTAATTATATAGCCACATCATCATTAATTAAGACTCATCTAAAAGCAGACATGGTAGCACCTGCTTCTCATCTCAGGAGCTTAAAGCACCCTTTAACAGAACCATTGAACAGAAAGTTCAAGGCCATCCTGAGCTATATGAAATTCTGCCTCAAAACAGTAACAAACCACCTAGCATCTAGAACCATGACCAGTAACATTTCCTAAACAAAACAATAAACCACCATTTAGTTTTCTCCTGGTTGCTAAGCACAAGGCTGGCTATCCCAACACTGTCCCAAACCTAAGCACATAAGCAACACAATTTCAACCTCCCCCACAGTCCCCAAACCCCATCAGCATCACTCCGAGGGCTCTCTTGGTGGATCACAGAGGCACAAGGTCCAGACAGACAAAGAAGGAGACTTTTTATTAGCATCGTTACAGCAATGCATTACACGTGAGCTGGTCCTCAGTGTACAACCCACCTACGCCGCAGGACAGGTCAGCAGTGTGAATCTATTATTGTACACAGTGCAGAAACAGGGCCACCCTGAATGCCAACAGAAGACTGGAAATCACTTTACAAAAAGTAAATAAAAATAATGCCATTTTCTATTTAGAAAAGTGCCAGCGCGTGGGTGGCAGAGCACGAAACACTGGTGAATGTGCCCAGCCAGATGCCAGCCCCCCAGGCCAGCAGCCCAACTGAATGTCCAGAGGTTGAGCCTGCGTACGCCTTGGTGGCAGGGCTTCCCACTCGCCCCTTCTGGCATCTGCAGTGTGCAGCCGAACCATCAGCCGCCCTCACCAGGCCCAAGGGTTCAGACCAGAAATTCCCTTTGTAAGGCTAAATCCGAGTAAAAGAATGAAGAAACCAAACACCAAATCTTAAAAAGTCAAATGGGGGAGCCTGTGCGATTCCAAAAAACCTTCTTGTTCTCCTTAGAGCTCTACTTTGGTAACATTAACATTTAACCAGTTAGCAAAATATTTAACCCAGTTAGCAAAATTAACACCATCATTTCAATAGTTATTCCTTGTGCATAGTAAATGTTGCAAGATGAACTTCACATTTGATAAAGCAGATTTGAAAACAGTTTGCCAGAAAGTGTGCCTCCCTTCCACACCTATCTAAGCTCAGGATGTAAGAACAGACCCCTGTGTGTCTGTGGTGCACCCGCCCGCCCACCAGGTTAGATGGTCTGGTAGCCAGCATGACTCCTCTTCCTGCCGATGAGGTAGGCGATGAGGACGATGAGGACCAGCCCTGCCAGGGCACCGCCCACAGCAATGGGGATCAACATGTTGTTACCATCCTGCACACACTCTTCCACTGCAAGAAAGACAGTCCAATGTATTCACTATGGAGTCCACCCTCCCCACCCTCTTGTTCCTGAGGGGACAGGATGAGGCCTGGGTAGGGACAGCAAGTTCACTACCTCTGGGAAATTTGCAGGCATGAGCGTTCTCTGTGCACCTGGGAGAGCCCGGGTACGCTCCACCCAAATTAGAATGAACGGTGCCAAACACTCTGGACCAATGGTCAGCTGTGCTGTACCTAGGCACAGGTCCCTCAAAACCACTTTTAGAGAGAGCCACTACTGTCACTTTCCTCACTGTCTTTCCTCATCCACGGCACCCTTGCCTCACATACCTATGCCTGCAGTTCCTTCCTCACAATGGGACGAGGGGAACACTCTGGAGAAAAAGGGTGCTTCTCACCCTGACATCTTGGTCCCACAAGAAGATCTAAGACGCTTCTGTTGCTACCGTTACTATGGATATTACTTACCAGACCCAAACCTGCCACTTTCGACTTTGAAAGCCTGGACCTGAATACTGAAGACATTGAGGGAAAAGGTCTGGCTGACGAAGATGTGCTCTTCAGTGTTGCACTTGTACGAGTTCCCGATCGTGGCCTGAAGAGCTCTCAGTGAACTGTTAGAGGCATAGAATGCGGAATCTGCAATGGGAGACAGAGTCCGCTCAACCGTGGGCTACACTGGGCAAGGAGCACATGAACCACAGGAAGGAGGAAGCAAATCTCACCTTTGGCATCGGGAAGAGTCATGTTCAACTGGACATCTTGTAGGAAAAACAGGCTCGAAGTGGCATTCTATAAGAAAAGACACCCGCCAGGCACCTGATTAATAGGACATCTACATTTGCAGCACAAAAACAGCATATATTTTGGTTAGCCCATTCCAGACTTTGTTTTTTCTAGACAGGATTCCTTTGTGTTGCCCTGCTGTCCTGGAACTACTCCATAAACCAGACTGACCTGGAAGTTAGAGATCTGCTTGCCTCTGTCTCCTGAGTGCTGGTATTAGAGGCATATGACACCATGGTCCAGCTCCATACTTTCTTATAAGAAATTAAATTATTGAGTTCATTTGTGTATCTTATTAAAATGTTTATGCTGGCTGGGATACAGTTGGGAGACACACAGGAGGCTCCGGGCACATACATTACCCAGGACTACAGAAACAAACAAAGATACTCCATGAGCCATTAACTTTCCTTGACTTTGCAAACTATAAATGTGACTCTTCCCAGGAGATGGTACAAGCAGTAGAAAGAACGGCAGTGAGGAGCAGGTGGCACAGCCTGGCTTCACACTCTGCTCTTTGCAGCCACCCCCATTACCTAACTCACAATAGGTCTTCCCTAGATATATGCAGATGAAGTCAGGGATGTTTGCTGGTGAGAAGTGAGGAAGGAAAGGTAGAACTCCTATCACACAGGATGGACAGAAAGGAGAGAGCCACCTCTTCTTTCCCGAGGAAGCACTGAACTCTTCTGCTGACTGCCACCCATACCGAGGGCATGAAAAAGGTGACACATGAGGAATCTAGTGAGCATGTCTCACTTGACAAACTAGAACAGAACCTCACCATCCCGAACTTCAACTGCAGGAGAGTGCTGTTGTTCCCAACTCTCAGGGTCACCACAGAGATACCGCAGGTCCCATTAAATGTGTCATTTGGGCTGATGTTGAACGCTCTGGTCACAGTCTGGCAAGAAAAGCAAACAAGTCATCAATCCAATCTCTGGTGACCCTCTCAAACCACAGACACGACCACCAATGGCTAATGAAGTGATAACACCCACTTGAACAAGCCAGGAGAACTATTAACCACACCTGTCCAGAGATTCCTGGGTTCTGAATAGTGCTACTATTCAGAATGCTACCTTGCACCAGAGGCTTGGACTGGACCCTATGGTGGCTATTCTCGGTGTCGACTTGACAATACCTGGAATTACTAAAACCCAAGTGGCTGAGTACACTTGTGAGAAGTTTCTTCTTAATTAAATTATTTGAAGTGGGAAGACCCACCTAAATTTTTTTCTTGATTTATTATTTCCTCATATATTATTTCCTGACCAGTTTACCCTCTCTCCTCTCCTCCTAGTGCCCCCTCCAGGCTCTCATCCACTCCTCCACCATTTCTCTTCAGAAAAGGGAAAGTCTCCTAGGGC